ACCACCAGTCGAGCTTTGAATCGTGGAACTGAAGTGCCCTCTTCATGTTTCAATCTGTAGACCCACCTGTTCTTCAAAGCTTTCCTGTTCTTTGGTGCCCTTACCAACTCAAAGGTATCATTTGCATATAGGGAACTCATCTCATCCTGCATAGCCTCAAGCCATTGTCTCTTTTGCTCACTCTCCATAGCTTCTTCATAGAACTCAGGTTCTCCCCCATCAGTCAATAACACATACTGACTGGAAGAGTACCGAGTAGATGGTCTCCGTTCCCTGTTAGACCTTCTAGGAGGATCAACTCGAACCTGCGAAGGAACTTCTTGTTCCTGGTGCACAACATCATCAACATGACCATCCACATCAACTGTATCATCCTGATTGTCTGGTACAAGATCACCGTTCTGCCCATTCTCTTGAACCTCATCAGCATCATGTTTATCTTTGCGGGAAACTGGCTCACAGTCAATCAAACTTCCATTGTCTTGAGATTCTGGCTTTCTCACTTTGTCAACATCTCCAATGGTTTGATCTTCAAAGAACACTACATCACGGCTTCTCACAAGCTTCTTCTCAACTGGATCATACAGCTTGTAGCCAACTTCATCAAGACCATAACTAATGAAAATCCACTGTCTAGTCTTCGAGTCCAACTTAGATCTTTCATCTCTTGGGACATGCACAAATGCCTTACAACCGAAGACTCTGGGGTGATCATAAGAAACTTCCTTTCCACACCAAACCTTATCAGGAACTTCATTATTCAAAGCAATAACGGGAGATAAGTTGATAACATGAACAGCTGTGGAAACTGCCTCTGCCCAAAAAGAACTAGGCAACTTTGCGTCATCAAGCATACATCTGACTCTCTCCATAATTGTCCGATTCATCCTCTCTAATAAGCCATTTAATTGAGGAGTTTGAAGAGGAGTTTTCTGATGTCTAATACCGTGCATTCTGCAATACTCATCAAATGGGCCACGGTACTCACCGCCATTATCAGTACGAATGCACTTCAATTTCTTCCCTGTCTGTCTCTCAACAAGGGCATGAAACTCTTTAAACACACCAAACACATCACTTTTGTGCTTCAAAGTGTAAACCCAGAGTTTCCTAGAATAATCATCAATGAAGGTCACAAAGTAAGATGCACCTCCAAGTGATCTAACCTTCATTGGTCCACAGACAACAGAATGTATCAACTCAAGTGGCTCCGGCTTCTTCGAAGGAGAATTGCTCATAAAAGAAACTCTTTTCTGTTTCCCTGCCAAGCAATGAACACATCTGTCCAATCTAGCTTCCTTTACTCCTGAAAGCTTCTTCTTCTTGGCAAGGTAATCAATCCCCTTTCACACTCATGTGGCCAAGTCGTTTATGCCACAATTCTGATGCACATTCTTTTGCTGCCACATTCACTGAATCACCAGAAATAGAGCTTTGTAAAGAGTACAAGTTAGAAGACTTGTTACCTCGTGCAATGACCAGCGAGCCTTTAGTGATTTTCCAATGTCCATCACCAAAGAAACAACAGAAACCATCATCATCGAGTTTTCCTGTAGAAATGAGATTCAGTCTGATACTCGGTGCATGCTTTACATTTTTAAGTTCCAGCTTTGTGTCATTGCTGGTCTCAAGACAAACTGTACCGGTACCAATCACCTTCACCTGACCATCATCACCCATTCTTAGCTCTCCAAAGTCACCTGGAGTATATGAAGTAAAGAATTCCTTCCTTGGTGTAACATGGTAAGATGCGCCTGAATCTACAATCCAAGTTGTCTCTTGGAATGCAACATTGACGGCGTTCTCATCACAAGCAAGAAGCAAATCTGCTCTAACTATTGCAACCTGGTTCTCTGTGTGATCATCTTTCTTGTCTTGCTTCTGTTCCCTTTTCAACTTGAAGCAGTTTTTCTTGATGTGACCCTTCTTGCCACAATGATAACATTCAACATCCTTGTGCTATGACCTTGACTTACTTCTGCTTTTATCTCTACCCTTCTGACCCCTTTGTTTGTTTCTCCCCCTATCATTTGTAACCAAAATACCTGACCGAGAAGTGGAGGTGTCTTGAGATCTTCTTCTTGACTCTTCATTCAAGATACCACTCTTGACATACTCCATGGTCACAACACCGTTGGGAGCAGAATTGGTCAAAGAAACCCGAAGTGTTTCCCAAGAATCAGGTAAAGTGTTAAGCAACCAGAGACCAAGTACCTCATCCTCAAATTTGATGCCCATGCTAGACAACTGATCAAGAACACCCTGAAAATCATTGACATGATCATTGATCAATGTAACTTCCCTGAATCTTAGATTCATCAACTATTTTAGCAAAAACAATTTGTTATTGCCCGTCTTTGAAGCATAAAGGGTCTCAAGTTTATCCCACAGGCTTCTGGCATGTGTCTCGTTGATAATGTGATTCATAACATTATCTTCAACCCATTGGCGAATATAACCACAAACTTGTTGGTGCTCAAAGTCCCACTCTTCGTCTGACATGCTTTTTGGCTTTGCAGTTGCAAACACAGGTAGATGTAATTTCTTCACAAACAGAAGATCCTTCATCTTGGCCTTCCAAATGTGATAATTTCTACCATTCAATCGTACCATATTACTCATATTTGTCTCCATGTCAAATGTACCCAATCAACAACCAAGGCTCTGATACCACTTTGTTGGGAAAATCCCACTTCCTGTGACAATGAAAATCACAGACCCGTCACAGTGCACAAATACGAAAGGATACAAAACAGTTAAAAATAAATATGAAAACAAGAGACACAAGATTTACGTGGAAAACCCCAAATCGGGGAAAAAACCACGGGACCACTACCAACCAAATAATCCACTATAATAAATCTTGGGTACAAAGTTTCAGGCTACCACACGAGCCAAACATCCACAAATCATCAAATACAATAATTCTAGGCTAAAGACTTCTATTATATTCCACAGGCCTAAACAGAATACCAACTCGTACTTAAAATATTCAACCACCACAAGCAAGATGAAAAGAATACAAATAGTACGAGAATACCCAAAAGATGCCTGGAACAAATAAGCTGACCTCCAAAATATTTGATGAAGAAAATACCCAAGAAGTTAGCAAACCTCACTACCCTTCTCGTCTCTCTGTCTGTCGAACAGAATAATGAAAGATGAAGCAAAAGGGTTCGCAGCACGCTAGCACGCTTCTTCCACTGCCAAACATATATATATATGGGAGAATGCATCCAAAAACAAAGGAAAGTTGTTTCATTTTTCTCAACTTAGCCAAAAGAAATAAATTTGGTTTCCTTTTCACAAGATGCTGCCACCTCACCTTGTTTCCAATTCTCCATAAACATATATATTCCTTAATTCAAAATTCCTAATTATATACTATATATAAATATATAATAGTAATAATAATTCGGGCTCAAGATGAGTGGAGGTCCAACAAAAATTATAGTGGATACAAATTGGCTTGGTCCAAACATGAGCTATTTACCACATAGGAGGGAAGCCCAACCAAACGTTCTCAATTCCTAAGTCGTTACGCAAAGGGCAATGGGAACAGTTTCATCTAAAGGCAAGAGAGATCTTGTAGCATGAGGGAGTCGTGTTCTCAATTCCTATGTCGTTACGCAAAGAGCAACGGGAAGTGTTCAAGTTTCGTACTTGCTTGTATAAGCTGCTATGTCTTATGTAATTAAAAATGCATAGCGAATTGAGCTTCATTCTAGGCCAGCTAAGGCCTCATGGATTCAACTACGTTAAAATCTTGATGTCTCAATTTTGTTTATGCATTTTAACCTATATGTTTTTTTTTTTTAAGCAAAGAAACTTTTATTGACAACAGATAGTCCGATGAGAAACAAAACCTTTGAGGTCAGACAACAAACCTAATTTGGCTTTTACAGGAAGAGAATCTAGAAAAGAAAAAATCTTTGGATAACTAGCAGTAAGACCCTCCTCCGCCAGAGCGTCAGCGACCTGATTAGCCTCACGGTAAGGGTGTCGGATCGTAGACCCCCACTCTGAGAGATAAAAGCGAACGTAGATGACAGCCGATCTAATCCTCCAAGGAATCTTCTCGCTCGATGAAGAGACAAGACCGCTAGAGCTTGAGAGTCTACCTCAATGATCAGAGGCCGAGTTACAATCATATCGCACCATTGAATGGCCTGCTGGAAGGCAAGAACCTCCGCCTCCAGAGCCAATGACGCGTCCAGTCGGAAGCACAGCCCCATAAACATCTGGCCATGTGAATCTCTCAAGAAGGCCCCACCCGCCGCGCCAGCCGATGAGAAAAAAGCATCCATATTTAACTTTAGCCTCCCCACCGGTGGAGTTACCCAATTAATCCAAATGGTCACCCGATTTGTCGGACGGCTCTGATGAGCAATGAAACCTTCTGATAAGAGAAAAGCACCAGCCGCTTTTTTCCACTTCATGATTAATTATAACATGTAATCAAGTATTTAGGCCTACTTAATTATCATAATTGAGATCAAGAAAACATAGAGATATGGATAATGATACTGAGAGTCATCATACCATATGGTAATTTAACTTTATTATTTTTAAAACAATATTTCATGACACAAACAAACTACACATACCATAAGACTCACTGAAGTTCACATAATTATATTGATCTAGGTAGGACTAAAATTTATTAATCTATAAATACCAAAGCCTAAAGTTTTTTCAAATTTCAAATAAAATGATATGCTGAGTAAATTTCAATTTTGGTTCTGTGACTATTGAGATCTTGTTAATTGCAATCCGCGACTTTTAAAATTATTAATTTAGTACCTTAACTATTCAATTTTGATCACTCCCACCAAATTACCGGTCAAATCTCATAAAAAAAAATTAATGAGTAAAATAATAATAAGGATATTTTAATCACCTTCTCTTCAGCTTACGTCTCCTTGCGGCCAAAGAAGGGAACCTGTTTGTCATCTTCCTGCATTTGGGGAAGGAATATCCCATTTAAAATCTCTGTGTTCATGTGGAAGTTGCTGAGGCGTATCCTTCCCTTCCCGGATATTCTTGAGCATTTTGGCTTCTGTATGCCGTCCTTCTGTCCATTCTGCATTGCTGCAAGTGCTAGCCTAGAGCACTGCCTCTTTCATTGCTCCGCTGCCCATCAAGTCTGGACTTATTTTGGTAGAGTTTTTGGCTTAGCCCTCAACAACGCCCACTCTATTCGTGCTGCCTGCCATGCATGGTGGATTTCTGCTTCACCAGGTTCGTCACCAGAAAGTATTCTTTTGCCATGCCTTCTCCTGTGGTTTCTATGGGTAACATACAATGACTGCATCTTCAATGGCGCTACCTTTTCACCTTCGGGGGTTATTATGCGAATTAAACATGAGTCCTATCTCATTTCGCTGGCTAACCCTCCTTACCGCAAGAATGATTTAGCAGCCTGCTTCCTTTCTGAAGGTATGGTTGCCAGATTTGCTGCTCCGCCACGAAGGACAACGATCTGGGTGAAGTGGTTAGCACCGCCATCGGGCAGGCTGAAACTCAACTCGGATGCCGTCTTCACATCGGCGGGCGCAGCAGGTGGGGCTATTCTCAGGGATTCCAGAGGTCTCTGCATTGCTGGGCTTTACTTCAGATTGGAGGCGACCTCAGTTCTTGAAGCTGAAACTTTAGCGTTGAGGAAAGCTGTTCAGTGGTGTGAAGCAATGGCTTTGCGGCCCTCTGCCATTGAGGTCGATGCTCTAGATCTTGCTCGTTTGGTTACCTCACCGGAAGCGAGGTCTCCATGGAAAATCGGTGACTCGATCCTTTACATTCGCTCCTCCCTCCTGTCTTGGGGTTCGATGTTAACGCATGTCTACCGGGAAGCCAACCAAGTAGCCTATGCCCTCGCGGTGGAGGGTCTGGTTGCAAGTTCTCCCGCGGTTGTTTGCTCTTTCCTAACCTTACCTGTCAAGGCTAAATTAGCTCTTCTGTATGACTTCGGGGGTTTTGCTACCTGCGGGGCGATTCGCCTTTAATAAAAGTTACTTCGCTTAAAAAAAAAGGATATTTTAATCATTTCACTTCTCTTTTCTTTCATCGGGTCTATCTCTTCTCTTCCGTTTCCTCAACAATTGTTTCTTCTTGGAAGCTTCGCCTGCTAAAGCTCATCCTCCAAAGTCCAAACCCGGCTACTTCCTCTGTCCTAATTCCTCCCCCAATACCGACAGAACATAGAAATCGAATTGAAGAGATTAATTTCTCGGGAATGGAAAATACAAAGATTGACAAGTGACAAGCAAACAATATGACAAAAGGAAATAGTTAAACAACATTTACTCTTGTAACGATTTTTAGGCTGTAGAAATCAAGGAAACCTCATTTCTTCCAAGATTAATAATATCAGCTATACATGTAACACCCCGGATTTTCAAGATATTTAAAACATATAAAATAAAGGTAAAATCTCATTAAATCCCAAATTACGATACAAAGAGTACGGGGTGCTATGCCACACCCGAGCTAGAGAACTCGGGTGCACAGGCTAAATTCTAAAACCTCAATCAGTATCAATACTAAATCATGGCACACAGGCCGACAAGGGAAACTATCTAAGCTACGCCTCAAGCTTCTAACGCGCTCCAGTGATCTACTCGTCTGTGCCTGAAAGCCAAATATATCTGTTCAGCAAGAGATGCTGGTAACCCACTCCAACGTGTTGAAATACAATACATATAGATATATATATATAGATATACGAAAACCATTTTTGAACATGAAGATATATCCTACGAACTCTAGCTTTTAAAACAGGGATAGACTCAACAGATAGAGCTAAGCACAGACAGCAGTTATACCCAGCATATACGGTTCACAACAGGCAAGACAGATAAGATAAGCACAATTAATAACCATAACTAAGCATTACTAGCAAGAGCCCTATAACAGTCACAACATCAACCCTTCTTATCTCATCATACAGCACACTTTGTTGGCTCCACAGGACCAATCGCATACCCATACATAAGGGTCAGCGCATATAGCTCTGACACGGCCCCGCAGCACCCTGCCCCGTCTCACAGCACGGAGGGGTCGATCGCAACCGACCGATGAGCCGCAGCTCTATATAATATTTATATCCCTGACCGGTCTCTACCAGCCTGGTTAACAGTTGGGATGGTTCTCAACCCATTCAACTGCCCGTATAGTGGACCTTTGTCCTATATAATATTTTTATACCTGACCGGTCTCTACCAGCCTGGTTAACAGTTGGGATGGTTCTCAACCCATTCAACTGCCCGTATAGTGGATCTTAGTCCTATATAATATTTATATACCTGACCGGTCTCTACCAGCCTGGTTAACAGCCGGTATGGTTCTCAGCCCACCCGACTGCCCGTATAGCCCGATTGATCTCAACCGAATCGGGGTAACATGCACACATAACACATAGCAAGAACATGCAACCCACATTAACACATTGGGAAGGGGGAGAAAACGTATAACAAAACCTATGCGTGATCCTTCACATTCTAAGAATAGTCCTAAGGGTTCATACTTCTTTCACCTAGGTCAACGGGATACCAATTCAACTAGCATGCAATATATAAGACTCATACGACCTACGAACGGTACCCGAAAATTAAACTAAACATAGGCACGATAGACGGAGTCCGTTGGGACACCACGAGGGTCGGGGGAACATCAAACGGGGAAGCCAGGGTCCCGAAGGGTGGGAATTTCCAGCGGGTAGCCGGTGGATGGGGGGTCCACCCGTCGGCTGCCCGCCGGGATTTACTGTTCCGGGCAGCGGGTGCCCGGCGGGCAGCTGCCCGCCCACCGGCTGCCCGCTGCCGGAGCTCCTCTTTTTGGCCGCGGGTAGGTGGCGGGTCCCCTACCCCCCTGACTCTTTTCACCAAAAACGCCCCGGGAACCTTTGTGGAACCCGGAACCATGCTTAGACACTTTCAAACGCAATTAATAACACACGTAGACAATTAACGGATCAAAATCAAGAAACAAACGGCACATAACCTATCATGCTATTCTAAACATAATAAACACCCAATCATGCGAAATCCCACCCAATATACCAAGAATATTACCATACGAATTCCACGACATAACCTAGGGTTCTAATTATTTTTAAATCAACAAGAACACAATTCATCTTCCAAAATCAAGATTCGGTAGGAATATCATATAACTATCAAGAACCTCATATAATCATTAAGAACATCAGGAACACCATGTAATTATCAAGAACGTCATGTAATCGTCAAGAACACCATAATTATCAAGAACCTTTCATTATCAAGATCACCCATGGAAATCATCCCACCAATCATCAATAATAATATCTCAAATCATCAATACACAATAATATCGGGAAATCCTAAGAGGGGAATCATAACTAAGAAAATAGGTTTTGTTGAGACATGGGTTATCTCTTAGCCTTAACTAATTCCTTGCCTATGAAGGGTCTTTCTTTAAGCTTTCTTGCTTTCTTGATTTCTTCTAAGGGAATTCTTGGAGCTCTTTGGGGTGGTGGAACGTTTATTGTGGTGGGGCGTTCTAGGTGCCTCTTAAGTCCCCTATTTATATATTTAGGAGTCCTAGTTAGGAACTAATATTATAGGCTTGCTAATTCTATTTCTTTTGGGACTAAGGATTGGGTTTAGGGATAAGGGCCCGTGGACTATGGTGGGCCTTTCCTAATTAATTATTGTGATTTTATTCTTTCTTTTGGGTAATTGATTAAATGATTTAATTGATTTTAGGGGTCGTAACACGGGGTGTTACAATACATAATTCCAATGCATATGAAATCAATTACTAATGAAAATCTGAACTCATTTATAAGAATTGGATCAAATATAAATTTATGAGTTAGTTTTTGTAGTGTACTTTAAACTTAAGCTCATAATATAACAGTTGATATTAGAAACACGTCTACTCTGCCATGTACCGTCTAGGACCCCGGATAATGCCATTCTGATCAAAATGGTATTGCAAGTATATGTTAAACAAGACTCTTTTTCCCATGTGACAAGGAAAGTATGCAGTCACTACAAGAGGGCATGTGCACTAGGTAAACTTCATTTTCCAAGCTAAATGAAATTCATACATTTTTCATATTAAAAAATTAACTAAAAACGACATTTATAGTGACAATTTTGAGTGGGTACATTTTCAATTTTGATCGAGTCAAAAAGAGATTCAAAAATGAGACCGAAAAGCTTAGACTCGTGTCCACTTGAAATAAACTAACTCTAATGTTATATGAGAATTAACTTTGTAACAGCAAGTGTGAGTGTGACACGCCTTAAATTGTAACTGATCGAAATATTAAAAATAATTTTTGAATAAAATTTCAAACTACTATACCTTTCATCATATCGTTTCAGGCATTGTCCACAACGCCGTTGTTGATGATGTATCAGTTACAACTCCAAATAGTATATCAATATTTTAACTATATAATCTGGAGGTGTGGTTGAGTGGAAGGGACTTAACCTCGGAAGATAAAGGTTATTGTTTTTCAGGACAAAATGAATGCATCAACCTCGGAAGGAATTTATAAAAAGGATGAATAAAAGAGTTGTTAGATAAAAGCCAACTTGTCCAACACATACAAGTCTATACATATAAGTAGAAGGAATCTTTTTTAACCAAAGTATGGTTAAGCACTTACAAGGAAAAAACAGTCTTTACCTAATGGTTCATGGCAAAACAAATAAAGGCATTTGCTGTAGCTTTTGGGAATTTGACAACTTTTGAACGGCTACCACTTGCCAAGTCACAACATGGAAATTCAAATTTCAAGTTGGCACTCAACCCCTCTTCTATAAAAGGAGGACCCAAGTTTAGAAGAAGATGCTGATTGTAATGTTGGTTGAAAGATTTCTAAGAGAAAACTCAACACTTTATCAAGTATTCTATGCTAAAAGAGAATCATCTAGATTATAAATGTCCAACTCTCAACATCAATCATCTTTCTCAATTGAAGGGTTGGAATATCATCCTAGTAAGACAACTTTGTTGTTGAACCTTGGCTAGAGTTTGATTAGATAGTGAAAAATTAAGTCGAACCGGAGTTCGTGACTTATTCCAATGACTGTCACCAGAAGAAGCAAGATAAGTAGTAGTGAATGCGAAAGGCTTCCGCACTCACCTGCATTTTTGTAACAATACATAGTGAAAAACTCCTTGGGTTATAAGGTGAAAAGTGGAGTAGAAAAATTTTATGAACCACTAATTTATATATATATATATATATATATATATATATATATATATATATATATATATATATATATAATCACACTTAGATTATTTATAACTTATCTTGCGACTAACCTTCATAGTCGATTTCACACGTACATTGTGACACCCCAGAAAATTACCATTTAAACGAAATTAATTGTCTAATTAATTCTAAGGTTGCTTTATAAATTCCTTCCTAATTTCCTTATTAAATAGTTGAAGGACCTAAATTGACCAGATTCCTTAGTCAAGTGAATTAGTCAATGAGAAAGACAATGTGCTTCATGCATTGTACTTAGCTAGCTTTTGATGTCTTCCTAACCATTTTGAGAACAAGGGAGACTATTTTAGTCTTTCCCCAACTTTTACTTGACCTCCAAGATATTTCCCTAGCATCACCACTCTTGTATTTTCCACATTATGCAAGAAATACATTTCTCCCTCCTTTCTCTCTAAAAGCTTAGCTTCTTCCCCAAGCTAGACTAAACCCCCCCCCCCCCCCCAATCTTGCAAGGAATCCACCAAGATCCTAACTTGCATCCACCAAAACCTTAGGAAGGGTAAGTCCTAAAATTGGCTAGTGTTTTTACTTAGTCTTTCCTTATCTTTATCTAAGTTTTGTTGTTTTGTTTAGGTTTGGTTGTGTTTGGGAAGATTTTGAAGAAGACCTTCAAGAGGAAGAATATGAGTTGGAAAGAGTGTTCTTAGGCATAAGAGGTAACCCATGTTCTACAAAACCTATTTTATACTTGTTATTGATGCTTTCTTGATG